AACTTAGGAGCTAGAATTACTCAAAATATAAATCCGAAATTCTGGACAGAAAAGTCGTCTTCACAAGAAACGACGTCGACAAAACACTAGCCGTTGGAATGTCGCGAAACTTGGATATGTTGTAGCTCTTGATCTCAGCTACCGTTCCCAATTTGAATCACGTTGATTGATGAAGTATTCGCGACGCTATGGCGTCTGCGACATTCTTGTCAGCCCATGCAGACAAGCATTCTTGGCGAGCTTCACAGCGGACTCATTGTCACAAAACACAACTGTCGGCTTCTCCTGACCAACTCCCAACTCCTCCAACAAACGCCTTAGCCACACTACTTCCTTGGCCCCATGGTGTAAGGCCATGTACTCAGTCTCACATGAGGACAATCCCACCTCATTCTGCTTCTTGCTGCGCCAGCTCACAGCATCACCTCCTAGCAAGCACACATAACCCCCAATGCTGGTGCCATCCGCTTTCACTGAGTTGAAGCTAGCGTCAGTATAGCAACTTCCTTGGCCCCATGGTGTAAGGCCATGTACTCAGTCTCACATGAACTTTGAATCTTCATAGCTTTCGCGTTCTTGCTCCGATTGAAGGGATTCTCGTTGCGTCGGAAAGATCTTCTCAAGATCTATCATCACAAAAAACCTGCTCAAACAAAATAACACAAAACACATTCCCAAACTCCAGAACACATCACACACAAATTCTTGCACACGTTCAAACCACACATGCAAGTTGAAAAAATATGGGATGGGAGGCAGACAGAATGTGATAGCATATGATGACATCACACAACACAGCTGTCCGGCATGATTTGGCGATGGTGATTCGGAAACACGCCGATATTTTTCCAGACGACCTCCCGCCGGGATTGCCACCTGAGCGAGACTACGACCAAATAATCGAGCTGGAGCCCGGCGCGCAACCTACTGTTCGAACTCAATGGCGGCTGACTCAGCCCGAACTGGATGAACTTTGACGCCAGCTGGACTACCTGCTCGAGAAAGGCTTCGTTCGACCAAGCACTTCACCGTTCGCTGCTCCGATACTAGTCACCCCGAAGAAAGATGGCGGTCTACGAATGTGTATTGACTACCGCGCCTTGAATCAGGTTACCATCAAGTCCCGCTATCCTATCCCACGTGCCGACGAACTCATCGACCAACTTCGCGGAGCCAAGTTCTTTTCGAAAATTGACCTGCGAGGCGGTTACCACCAAATCCGTGTGAACGAAGCTGATTGCTACAAGACGGCGTTTCGGACCCGGTACGGGAGCTACGAGTACACGGTTATGCCTTTTGGCTTAACAAACGCGCCTTCAGCGTTCCAGTTAACCATGAACGGAGTTTTTCGACCGCTGCTCGATAAATGCGTCATCGTGTACCTCGGCGACATCCTGATCTACAGTACGTCCCGGGAACAGTATTTGAAGGATTTGGAAGCAGTTTTCTCTCTATTGCAGCAGCACCGACTAATCACCAAGGGCTCTAAGTGCACGTTTCTAAAACCAGAGCTGGAGTTTTTGGGACACGTCATTTCCATCGATGGTGTTAAAATCGACCCTAAGAAGATCGCGACCATCCAAGACTGGAAGCCGCCGGCTAATCTTCGCGAACTTCAGAATTTTCTGGGGTTTGTGAATTACGACCGCCGGTTCATTCCGAACATGGCGGGGGTAACTTCCCCTCTCACGGATGTCCTGAAGAAGGGCATGTTTTATGAGTGGGGGGGAGAGCAGCAGGCTGCGTTCGAAAAGCTCAAAGTTTCCTGACTACACCTCTGTTTCTTCGGACTGCAGATCCTCACCGTCCATTCGAGCTCATCACCTATGCTAGCGATCTGGCCGTTGGCGCAGTACTGTTATAAGACTTTTGCGAAGGCCTCCAACCCATCGCGTACGAGTCACGAAAGCTGAAGCCGGCCGAGTGAAATTATCCTGTCCACGACAAGAAGTTACTCGCCATCGTTTACGCTTTCAAAGACTGGCGCTGTTACCTAACGGGCGCTGACGTGACAGTCCGAACAGACCACAAATTGCTACCGTTCATCCGCGCCCAACCGACACTGAATCCCCGACAGATTTGGTGACTCGATTACCTCGAGTCCATCTTCCACTACAGAGTCACCTACAAACGGGGGGTTAGCAACATCGCTGACGAACTGACCTGCCCTTCAGTTCACACCGCCGCAGTCCTAATTACCCAAGCTAGTCCACTGCTAACTGGCCTATTCACCCACGTATACAGTACTGATCCATTCTTCACCACTTACAATCATCCCCAACTGACGGAAAAGCAAGGGACCTAATATCTAAAATCCGGTACCAATCGGATTTGGGTTCCCGCCTACCATACCCTACGAGAATTACTGATCCAGGAGGCACATGACTAGAATTTCTCGGGTCACTACGGCATCGACAAAACCGCCAAATTACTGAGCCGTAATTATTACTGGCCCGATTTGCCGACCGACGTGCAGCAGTACGCCACCTCCTGCGCCACGTGTCAACGAATGAAGTCTTCACGGCTTCGACCCGCTGGATTGATGCAGCCGCTCGAGCCACACAGCCGACCCCGGCAACAAGTGACGATGGATTTCGTCACAGGCCTACCAGCCGGTTCAAGCGATAACGACGCGATTCTCGTCGTCGTCGACCGGTTGACCAAGATGGCCCACTTCGCTGCCTGCAAGACGACGATTACTGCCGAGCAGACAGCGAAACTGTTCCTCACGAACATCGTGCGGCTACACGGCATCCATTCGGCAATCATCAGCGATCGTGACCCACGGTTCACGTCCAACTTCTGGACAAAAACCTGGCAACAGTACGGCACACATCTGCATCGGTCCACGGCGTACCACCCGCAATCGGACGGCCAGACTGAGCGCACGAATCAGACGATGGAGCAGCTAATTCGCACGACGTGCACAGACCCGGCCCAATGAGAAGACGCCCTTCCCTTGATCGAGTTTGCGTACGACAACGCCCCATCAGCCACGATTACTCAGTCCCTGTTCTTCCTCAATTACGGGATGGATCCGACAACCCCTCTATCGTCACCGATAGAAAACCCGTCACCAAGATCTCAGCAGTTCGTCGAAAATCTCCGACAGTCTCAACAAAAAGCTGCCGATGCCATCCTCAAAGCTAACTAGAGGGCTAAGCAGCAAGCTCACCGACAACGCCGAGACTTAACACTTGTCCCTGGGCAATTGGTCATGCTCGACACCAGAAATTTGGGAATTCCCCACCCAAATAAATTACGACCAAGATTTTGCGGTCCATTCCGCATCATCCACATGGTGACACCAGTTACCGCCCAGCTGCAACTGACGACCGACTGGCGAATTCATGATTCGTTCCACTTCAGTCTCCTGCAACCGTTCGTCCCGAGTACGACTAACCTCGACTGTCAGCACATCAATCCTACAGCCAACCTAGTACCCGAGCCAACGATTGAGGCATCCAAGATTCTCGCTCATCGCGTACAAGGCCATCGCGATACCGCAGCCGTTGATTTCCTTGTACGATGGGTCGATCGTACGACTGACGACGATCTTTGGGTCCCCGCAGCTATGCTCGGCGAACACAAAGTCGTCCGGGATTATTTTCACCGACGACGTGTCCCGGATGTGGGTAGTCTCATGCCGGAAGGGGGGGTGGTGTAAGGAAATTCCCTTTTCCTTACTGGGCTCGACTACTGTGCGTATGCCCTCGACACTCGGAAGTCCAGGCTCGGCCAACTTCTTCGGTCCTGAACCATTTTGTGAATCCAAACCTAGACGCGCAGCGCTTCAGTGGCTTTCGCCAACCGAATCGCCCCAACCTGTTCGCGTGGTTCTCAGCTAGCTCTGTTTGTGCCTATAAATGCCTAGGCCCTCATTTGTATTGACACTCTTGAATCACGACTCCTCTAGTACACTAGTTGTCCTTGTATTTAGCTATGTGCCTCATTTGTATCCGACACACTTGAATAACTACCTCTCTATTGCATTACTCGACTCCATCCGGAGATTATCATTACACCGTGGAGCTTTGCCATATTGGACCAGCTGACCAGAAGTCCATCCACCCCGTAACTTGGCGATCTCTTCTAGGGAATAATCCCCAGGGATAGGCTAGTTGCGAGGTACTCAAATTAGCATGTAACATGCACATTGGGGTGTGTGTGTGTAGAGTACTTTGGAATATATCCCATGCGACGATTCTTACGACTTGATTTCTCGCGAAGACACATTCGTCGCATCGCCGATCACTAGCGTGCCAGCGTGGCAGGTTTGCACCAAAGGAAATTGATCAAGGAATCTCGGACTGCCGCGTGTGCATGGGTTCCCTGGATGGGGTCAAACCAGATCGCGCTGCAGCCTGCATGGGCCTTCGCCTTGCCATCCTGCCACGGCCATGCCAGTTCACACACATGCACACATCGGCGCACTTGGCATGCCCTCGCCTTGCTTGCTATGTACTGTTGCCCCGCCAGCTCATCCTATCCATTGCCAACGTGCCCTTGCTGATGGTGACACCCGTTGCCTTGCCATACCCTGCATGGAGCTTGCACAGGAGGGTTCAGGGCTTTATGCCTACAAGCCTCTCTGCGACTGGCGCCTCGTGCCCTCCGATAGTCCCACCATTAACACGTCGCAGGGCGTGTTTATCAAACCATTTCAGCGGATCCGAAGCAGCCGCGCCAATTTTACTCCCGCCAACTTAGCAGCCGGCTACAGAGGTTCGTACAGAGCGAGCAAAACTTCGAGTCACAAATCTGAACCTTTGTTCGTCAGGGCGTGTCCCAAGAGTACGTCCCACATAATGCTTATGCGGTTTTGTACGGTTAAAAACAAATGAAAACGGTATTCCCGTTTCGCCATTTTCAACCTTAAAGCACCGTTTTGGACCTGTACGAGGTGTCAGGGTGACGTACTCTTAGGACAGCTCTCAGAGCAACTGGAGTTGAGTGCTCCTCTCGAACTCTTCCTAAACTACAGGCTTCACTCCATTGACCTCCCCCACCACAAGCACTTCACACAGCCCTTAGCGGATTCACATTCAGCCCTTGCCCGCCACTACCATTCGTACCATCCCTACTGTTGGTCTGTCAGTCAGTCAGTTAGGCACCCAGCCTTCCTGTGGACGCAGCTCGTCTCTGTCATCGTTGTTCCTTCAACGCTTGGCGCCGACAGCCCCCTCTCAGTTGTTGTCCAGGCGACTCTCTGCTTTCGCCCCTCACCAACGTTTCCTCTGGGGAAATTCCGCACCACTCTCCGTCTCCATTTCTCCCTCGACCGTTTTCTGTCTCTTGAAACCCAAGCGCGCCGCTTAAGCTCCTCCTAAAACTGCTCCCCGTGTCCTTGTCCCTCTAGTCCGCCACAGCCCCACCTCTTCTCCTTTTTCCAGTCTCTTGCACCAACCCACCCATGGCGACAGACGCGCCCCCCGCCGCCGTCGCCGCCGCCGCCGCCGATGCCGGCGACGCTCCCGCTCCCGCCGCCGACGCCGGCGCTTCCGCCGCGGCTGCGGCCGCGACGGAGAAACTATCCGAGTCGCTCGCGCCTATCCACAAGGAGCTGCTCGACATCCGCGACACGCTGAGGGCGATGCAGGAGGCGAAGACGCCGCCGACGGAGGAGGCGCTACAGCCGCTGCAGGAGCGGTTGGATGCGGTGGACAACAAGCGCGTGGACGGCATCTTCGGCGGGTCGCTCAAGACCGTGATTCCCGAGGGCCAGGCGATCCTTCATGAGCTCATGGACGAGGCGTACGGTGAGTAGAGGAGAGTAGGCTTTCGCGGCTTTCGCGGCTTTCGTTGGGACGGGGCTTGTGGTCAGTGGAGTTTCCGAGAGGCACGCAGGCCATCCTACACGAGCTCATGGACGAGGCATACGGTGAGTGCGGGGGTGGAGTGGAGACTTTTGCTGGGTCGTGGTTTGCGGTGAGTTGAGTTCTTTTCCTTTTCACGAGCTCATGGACGAGGCGTACGGTGAGTGCGGGGGTGGAGTGGAGACTTTTGCTGGGTCGTGGTTTGCGGTGAGTTGAGTTTTTTTCCTTTTCACGAGCTCATGGACGAGGCGTACGGTGAGTGCAGGAGGTGAAGCTCCTGGGACGCGCTCTAGGTTTACGGAGCTTGTGGTCAGTGGGGTAGGTCGAGAGTGCGGATGAATTTTCCCGATGGAGGCTGACCATTTTTAACCCCGCGTGCGGTGACTTATGGAGCCCCCGTGGGAAACCACGCGCGTGGACGGGATCGGCGGAGGCCCGCCGTCACTTTTCGGCGGAGAGTTGCCTCTTCGGTGGCATACTCTCCTCTCCTCTCTTCGGTTGCCTCTTCTTAGGCGCTTCAAGTGGAGACTTGCTAGTATACTCTCCTCTCCTGCCTGCCGCCCATTGTGTTGGCTGGAAGTATCAGGTTGAAGCGAGAGTGACTCTTGAGTCGACTCAAAAGCGAGGAATGAAGGTATGGTAACTGCTGGGATCGTGGGAGTCGTCGGAGTCGCTCGGAGGGCTAAGGGGGGGGGGGGTGGGAGAGAAGTCATTGCAACAGCATGGAAGGGCCAGCTAATGGGAGGGGAGAGCTCAAATGGCTGCCTCGGAGCCGAGAGGAAGAAGACGGAGAAGGAGAGGCTGCAAGGGGGTGGGGTTGGTGTTTCGTGAAGCAAGTGTTGTCTTCCGCTGGTTCCTCTGGTTCCGCTGGCCCCGCTGGTTGCGTTGGTTGCGTTGGTTCCGCTGGTCCCGCTAACCGCTATGCGCAACTAGTAGCGAGCGCGCCGCGCGTATAATAATTGTGGTGTGAGACGCGTCATGACGCCTGGGAGATGCTGGCGGATATGAAACCGATTCACGACACGCTGGGCCCCGTCCCTGTCGACGGCACGCTGGGCCGGTTGACGAACTCCCTTTCGCTCTCCCCGGTCAGATCCACGGCTCGCTGGGCCGATTTACGACCCGCTGTGCAGGGTACTCTGCACTCCGGTTGGAGCGACTCTCGCACCCACTTCTCTCCACTCTTCTCATTCCCCTCCCGCTCCCCCTCCTGTCCCTCCCCGGCGAACAGACCTTGTGGGCGAGCTGGTGGTTAAGGCGTCGGAGATGCCGCCCGAGATGAAGCAGATCTACGACACGTTGTGCGGGCTGAAGCGCAAGCTGCAGAAGATGAAGGCGGACCGCGCGTACTCGCTAGAGGACATCCACCGCTACCAGCTCATGGTCGACGCCATCGACTCGCGCCGCGTCGACGGGATCTTCGCGGGGAACCTGCAGTCCATCCCGCCCGGCCAGGCGCAGTGCAGCACGGTGCTGTTCCAGGTGTACGGTGAGTGCTGGGCCCGAGGGGTGGGGGAATGGGGGAATGGTGGAGGGAGCGGGCGCTTCTCGCTGGAGGACATCTGTGGCATCTTCGCGGGGAACCTGCAATCCATCCCGCCCAGGCAGGCGCAGTGCAGCACGGCGCTGTTCCACGTCTACAGTGAGTTGGGGGGGGGGGGTGGGGGGGTGGGAGGAGAAATAGGGGAAAGGGGGGGATGGGGTCGTCGTTGGGGGGTGGAGGGGGTGGAGGGGGGGAGGATTCGTGGGGCATGGAATGAGTTCGAGGAAATGGGAAGGGTGGCAGGGGAGGAGGTGTGTGAAAGGAGAGGCAAGTGTGGAGGAGAGAAAGGGGAGTGTGGGGCGTGGGGAGTCTACGGCGTGGGGCGTGGGGCAATTCGCCAGTTGCTGCGAGAAAAGCTTTCACCACTGCGGGTCACAGGTCACAATGCAACTGAAGTTGAGTGGAGGGAAGGGGTGGAGGGAAAGTGAAAGTGACGTCGATTGGAGCAAAGTGGAGGGGAAGTGACGATGAGAAGCTTCTTGTAGTCCTCTGGGGGGGAGGGGGAAGAGGGGAGAGAGGAAAGAGGGAGGAGCGGTTGGCATGGCAGGGCATGGTGTGGAAGGGAGGGAAAAGATTGTACTCGGGGAGGGTGGAGACAGCGGATTTGGGGCGTGGTGTGGGACGGGCAGTGTTGGAGAGGTGGTGTTCTGTCCCGGGTGAGATGCGTGTTGAGTGTTGCAGGCAGGGGAGAGGGCAGTTATGGAGGTGGCTGGGTGTGGTAGGTTGGAGGTAGTGATTGGTGGGAAGAAGCCTCGGGAGATAATTGGTTTCTGGTGGACGGGCGAGGCGACAGCTGAGTTGAGGTGTCTGATCAACCCATCAACCTTACAGAAACTTGGATATCTTCTCCGCTCCCTTGCAGAATCATGCTCCTCCCTTTCTCCCACTCTATTCCGATTCCTCCGATTCCCTTGTCACCCTTAAAAAAAAAGGCATGAATGCAGAGGTGGGTGTATCTACACGCACCACCTCAGCACCTCCCATGCTGTCTACCACTCCTTCCCCTCACTCTCATCCCCTCCCTCCTCTGCTCCCGGGCTTCCCCCCACCCTCCCCACTTTTCTACTCTTTTTCTCTCCCTCCTCTCGTTCCCCCCCTACCCCACCCGCCCCCCTCCTCTCTTCCCCCAGAGCTGCTGCGCATCCTGCTGGGGTCGGCCCACGACATGAACGCTGAGATGCGCGGGATCTACACGCACCTGATCGGCATCAAGCGCAAGCTCATCGAGCTCAAGAGCAAGCACGTGAAGCACAGCACAGAGGACCTGCACATCTACCAGCTGCAGCTCGACGCCATCGACAGGGACCGCGTGGAGGGGATCTTCGGCGGCGCGCCCAAGACAGGCATCCCGGCTGGACAGGCAGTTTGCTCGACGCTGCTCGCGCAGTGCTTCAAGCTCGTGCAGGATCTGCAGGAGACGGCGACGGATGTGTAGGGTGGGAAAGGGTTGGGTTGGGTTGGGAGGAGTGGAATTGGGTGGGGTGGTTTTGATTTGAGGCAGATTGACTTCGAGGCAGTTTTGCGTAGATGCAGAGTGCCAGTAGTTTCACGTCGATTGATCCTGCATGCCCTCCTAGTTTTGACGTTGCCACTGATGTGCATTGCAGAGGCTAGTACGCTTACATGTGTTGAAGTGAAGTGCATATGTGGTAATGGATTAATTGTGGTTTGTTTGATTCATACATTGGTTCAGTTTCTGTCGGTCTTACATAGAGAAAGTGACAGCACTTGTAAGGAAATTCCTTTTTCCTTACTGGGCTCGACTACAACGCGTACGCCCTCGAGTCCCAAAAGTCCAGGCTCTGCCAACTTCTTCGGTCCCGAGCCACTTCGCGAACCCAACCTCAACGCGCAGCGCTTCCGTGGCTTTCGCCAACCGAATCGCCCCAACCTGTTCGCGTGGTTCTCGGCTAGCTCTGTTCGTGCCTATAAATGTCAAACATATGTATCTCTTATGTTTGTATAGACTGTGTAGGGTCACCTCTTAGAGGGTACAACACCTAGGTATATTCACTTGTACTCTCTCACTACTCCCGCCCGTCCTAGCTGGCCCCGCGCCCGTCCTACCAGCCCCCGTGCCCGTCCTAACGGCCCCCGCGCCCGTCCTAGTCGACCCCGCGCCCGTCCTAGCTGGCCCCGCGCCCGTCCTAGCGGCCCCCGCGCCCGTCCTAGCCGACCCCGCGCCCGTCCTACCGGCCCCCGTGCCCGTCCTACCTGCTCCCGCGCCCGTCCTACCTGCTCCCGCGCCCGTCCTAGCCGGCCCCGCGCCCGTCCTAGCGCCCCCCCCACGCCCGTCCTACCGGCTCCCGCGCCCGTCCTCGCCGGCCCCGCGCTCGTCCTTACAGGCCCCCGCGCCCGTCCTAGCCGGCCCCGCGCCCGTCCTACCTGGCCCCCGCGCACGTCCTCGTCGGCCCGGCGCCTACCGCTACTGGCCCCCGCGCCCGTTCTGCCGACCCCTGCGCACGCCCTGCCCGTCGATCTCCGGCCCCGTGCTCACCTTCCCGCCGGACTGCCGCCAATCTGCGTGCGGCCCGCTCTTCGTGCCTGCTACTGCACTGCACCCTCCCTGGTACGGCTCTCCATCACCTTTCACTGCACTGCACCCCCCCTGCACCGCACGGCACCGCGCTGCACCGCACTGTACTGCCCTGCCCTGCACTGCACCGCACTGTACCGCCCTGCCCTGCACTGTACCGCACTGCACTGCCTCACCTGGCCCTGCCGTGCACTATTCCTGATGGCGGCGGAGCTTCGCTTCGACGCTGAAGGCCAGCCTCTGGAGTTCGAGGCCTGGCTAGCCGACCTCCGCCGCCACCTCACTGGTCAGCGGCAGGATGGCCACTCGCTCTCGGCACACCTTGACGGTACGCTTCCCTGCCCAGACCCCCCTGCTGTGCTGCCCGCTGACCCAACACCTGCTGAGCGCGAGTCTATTGAGGCCCCGCCTGCTGCCTCGGTGGGTCAGCTGATCCTATCAATGCTCTTTCCTGACCTTGCGTCTTTCCCCACTGTCGCTGACCTGGCTGCCCACCTGCGCACGATAGATGAGACCTGGCGTGCTGCCTGCACTGACGCACAGCTTAGAGCCCACCAGCCGCCCCTTACCTCTACCCTCTACCTGCTTGCCACCCGCCTCCCTGACCGCCTTGCCGCTGCTCGTGACCGCTTCCTTAGCATTCACCCCGGTGACCTCACCCTCACAGACTTTGTAGACACCCTGACTGTTATTGAGACCCGCCACCGCTCTATCGCCCAGGCGAGCAGTACTGTGCCGGTCCCTATCTTTCAGGGTTGTGCCCCCGCTCAGTGCACCTTCTCCGATGGTTCTGCAGCTGTGGCTGAGACCGCCGCTGCAGCGCAGTTCCGTCCGGGGAAGGGCCGCCGCCCCAAGGCTGGGCGCGGCGGAGGAGGTGGGGGTGCCAGTGGAGGTGGTGGTGGAGTCGGGTCGTCTGGTGGTGGAGCGGACGACGGGACCCTGCCAGGTCCAGCTGAGCAGCCGCCCCAGCAGCCGCAGCAGCAGCAGCAGCAGCCGCACCAGCCGCCGCAGACGAGGCAGGCGAGTGCCCTCCCGCCCGGGTGGCCTGGCGCTGGTGGTGGTCGTGCGCGTGGTGGTGTGCCGGGTGGCGGTTCGGGGGGCGTGCGCTGTCAGTACCAGATCCAGACCGGTCCGCACCGCAGCTTCGTTTGCGGTAAGATCGGTCACTCCACTGCCCGCTATTTTTGTCGCCTGGACAACCTGTTTCGTCAGCTTTTCGGCCCGTCGCCCGACCTCCCGGACTGGCACAGTTTGCTTAGTCGTAGAGTTCTGATTTTGATATGGACATGGATGCCATTGTTTCTGCCCTGCATATGATGTATGCTGATGACTCTAGTGTGCTCCCCTCTTATTACTCCTTGTCGCCTAGTGTAGGTGTGCCTAGCTTAGCCTCCCCTGCTGCGTTAGGCGTTGGAGCTCCTGCTTTGTTTAGCCTTGGTGCTTCCGCCGTCGCCCCGTCGCCAGACGCCACTGCTTTGCTTTCCTTAACCTTGGACTCTGGCGCTTCCCGGTGTTTTTTCCGCGACTCTACTACGCTGACGCCGCTTCCTGTTCCTGCTGCAGTTTCTCTTGCTGACCACTCCGGCGGTCCAGTCGTCGCTCGCAGTTCCACCACCCTTCCCTGTCCGGCGGTTCCTTCGAGCTCTCTTACAGGTCTGCATATCCCCTCGTTCTCCAGGAACCTAGTTGGTGTCAACTGCCTCCAGGACCTTGGCGTCACCACTAGGTTCCCTAGTCACGAGCGGTATGCTGTCTGTACAAAGGCCGCCACTGGTGCCCCCCTGTCCACGTTCCCCCGGGACCCGGTGTCCGGCCTGTTCACTTTGGACACCGCAACCCCTCGGCTGGGGCGCCCCTTCAGGTGGCTGCGTCTACCTAGGTTGCTGCAGCCTGCTCCTGTCGGTCCCTAACTCACCCGACTCTCCTTTGGCACCACCGCCTAGGTCACCCTGCGCTCCCGCATCTGCGTCACATGTCCCAGCACGGTCTCGTCCTTGGTCTCCCTGGTTCTCTCCCCGCTTTTCCCTCCTCCCCAGCCCCACCTTGCACGCCTTGCGTCGAGGGTCGGCTTCGCCGTGCCCCTCACTCCTCCTCGTTTCCCCCTACCGCCGCGCCGCTGCAGACCCTGCACATGGACGTCTGCGGCCCCGCCCCCGTCCATGGGCCGCGTCGAGAGCATTACTTCCTCGTGCTTGTCGACGACTTCACTCGCTAAGCCACAGTCTTTCCCCTGGAGTGCAAGGCCGACGTGCCTGATGCTCTCATCCCCTGGCTTGTCTCTGCCCGTGTCCACCGAGGTCTCCCTGTCCTGCGTCTTCACTCCGACCGTGATGGCGAGTTTGCCTCAGATGTCCTTGGTCGCTTCTGTCGTGCGGAGGGCATCACCCAGACGTTCACCCTACCGGACTCCCCACAGCAGAATGGGGTCCCTGAGCGACGCATCGGTTTGGTCATGGAGGTGGCTCGCACCTCCATGATCCATGCCGGTGCACCCCATTTTCTGTGGTCGTTCGCTATGCGCTACGCTTCTCACCAGCTTAACCTGTGGCCGCACCCCCAGCAGCCGCAGGTTTCACCGACCCGACTTTAGACTGGGTCTCCTGGTGACGCGTCTGCGTTCCACGTCTGGGGCTGCCTTGCTCAAGTTCGTGCCTCTGGCACGGACAAGCTCACTGCCCGCACCCTTCCCTGCGTCTTCCTAGGTTTCCCCCTTGACGCGTCCGACTGGCACTTCTACCACCCGCCGTCTCACCGCTTCTTTCACTCTCGCGACGTCACCTTTGCCGAGTCCGTCTCCTTCTACCGTCGCTTCCCCCACCGCGGTCCCCCTGTTACTCCCCTCATGTTCCTGGTCATTCCTTCCCCGGTAGTCCTTGCTCCCCCCCCTCCCCCTCCCCATCCTGCCCCCTCCGGTGTGTCCCACGTCACCCCTCTCCCGTCGGTTGTCCCGGTCGAGGAGTCTTCTGACTCTGGTGGTCCAGCGGCGCAGTCCTCGCCGTCTGCCCCTCCCCCGGTGTCTCCTCCTCCGCCGCCTCTGCAGCCGCCGCCGACTCTGCTGCCGCAGCCATCGTCTCCTTCAGCGCCGCCGCCGCAGCCGTTCGTTGAGTCTGGGGGTGGTGGCGTTGGTGTGGGTACTAGTTCCGGTGGCCCTGGGGGTGGTGCCGGTGCTCGAGGGGTTTCGAGCTCTGGGGGTGTTCCTTCTGGGGGTGCGGGCGTGGAGTGTTCTGGCGGTAGCCGAGGAGCAGCCTGCGGTCCCGGTGTCGGTGTTGTGCCGCCACAGCAGCAGTCCCCGCCGGTGTCAGCCCTTCGCCTGCTCGGCCTTCTGTCCCCGGACCCTGCGTCTGTTCCTCTTCTGTCGTCTCCTCCTCTTCCCGTCTACGGTCCTGTGTTCCCTCCGCCGGACTCGTCCCCGGCTCGTCTTCCTCCTCGCTCCCCCCTTGTGTCCCCTCCTCTGTCTCCTGACCGGACTCCTCCGTCTCACGTCTGGTCTCGCCGTCCCTCCCGTGCTCGACCAGTCTCCCCTGTCTCGCGCTCTCACCCTATGTTGCTTCGTTCCCACGCGTCTCGTCCTCCCCTTCTCCCGTTGCCCCCTCCATCCTCCCTTGTCGTTGCTCCCCCCCCTCTGTCTGACTACCTGCGTGCCGCCCGTCCTCTTGTTCCTCGGGTCCTTGCCTCTCTCGTTACTGACCCGTCTGTTCCGGTTTCGCGTCTTGACGCCCTTGTCGCTGCAGTCGCTGACTTCGCCTCTACCCGCCGCCTTGACTACGCCACAGCTCTGGTCTCTGACCCTGCCTGTCCTCCGTCTGTCGGGGGTGCTCCTGCCCTCAGCAGTGACGTCCTGGAGGACCGCCAATTCGAGCTTGCTTTCCTGTCCGAGGCTGCTCCCCATCTCTGTTCCATGCTGCTAGTCCCTGAGGGTGACCCAGACGCTTTCGACATCCCGACCCCTCGCACTTACGCTGAGGCAACCTCGCGACCCTGGGCCTCCCAGTGGATATCTGCCATGGAGCAGGAGATGGCATCTTGGAGATCCACCGGCACCTTCGTCGACGCAGTTCCCCCGCCTGGGGTGAACGTAGTCGATGGCCGCTGGCTCTTCATGGTGAAGCGCCCTCCTGGAGAGCTGCCTATGTTCAAGGCGCGC